GAGATATTATACCAGCTACATTGTTGGATATCCAGAAATACTGTACCAGCTACATTGTTGGATACCTAGAGATATTATACCAGCTACATTGTTGGATATCCAGAAATACTGTACCAGCTACATTGTTGGATACCTAGAGATATTATACCAGCTACATTGTTGGATATCCAGAAATACTGTCCCAGCTACATTGTTGGATACCTAGAGATACTATACCAGCTACATTGTTGGATATCCAGAAATAGTATACCAGCTACATTGTTGGATATCCAGAAATACTGTACCAGCTACCGGATATCCAACAATGTAGCTGGTATAGTATCTCTAGGTATCCAACAATGTAGCTGGTACAGTATTTCTGGATATCCAACAATGTAGCTGGTATAGTATCTCTAGGTATCCAACAATTAGAAATACTCTACCAGCTACATTGTTGGATATCCAGAAATACTGTACCAGCTACATTGTTGGATACCTAGAGATACTATACCAGCTACATTGTCGGATACCTAGAGATATTATACCAGCTACATTGTTGGATACCTAGAGATATTATACCAACTACATTGTTGGATACCTAGAGATATTATACCAGCTACATTATCGAGTATCTAGAAATATTATACCAGCTACATTGTTGGATATCTAGAAATATTATACCAGCTACATTGTCAGATATTTGGAGATATTATACTAGCTACATTGTTGGATACCTAGAAATGTTATACCAGCTTAACTTGTAGCAATATCTACTTTTTAAAGTTAAATGTATTCATTTGAACATATGTTTAAGAATAAGATTGTTTTTGTTTTGTTTATATAAGGCATGAAGTATTTATATCACCGATGTTCAAACCGTAATTCATACCACTCGCAACTGTTCATTGAATTTAGCGACATCTATCAATATAAGTCTTAACCAAATAACAAGAATGAAGCCCTAAAGAATGACAGTAAATTTGGTTCGTTACCTGTAGAAACAATAGTCTCTAGGATATAAATATTAAAGTTTGGTACGTTAGATGTATAAGTAGTAATGATCATACCGAATTATGATATTTTATTTCTTTCATTAAATTTGTTAGTACAGATCGTATCAAAATAGTTATAACAATAATGTAGAATTCAGACTGTATTAAATTATTTTAACACAATAGATAAAATTTTGTATTTTGATTAAAACAACTTGACTTCTAAAGCCTTACTGAATTGCAAGGCGAAGTTGTCATTCAAATATTTTGTTATACATTAAAAAAACTTGGTTTACAACTGAAGCATTATAATAAATTCAATATTTCATCTTGTACGAATCAAAATCTATATATTTGTGAGTAGTAATTGTTGCTCATTATTTAGTACCAAAAATATTTAATACCAAAATAGTGATCTACAATCCTAATTGAATCATTAATAATAAGTAAATTTAAGTTTCTCTGAAATTTTAATTTAAAGTATTTTGCTAAAAGAGGTTATTTTGCTAAAATTTAGTAATATCTAGAACATAGATTAAATAAGTTAAATGTTTTTTATTAATAATGTAAACGTTTTTATTCAACCAGGATTTTACATGATCTCTGTTGTGTCGTTCTTCCGTACTGACTCGTGCCATGCAGACGCCTTGTCAAAACCTATGTACACGACGAGCAACGTGTAATATTTGTTATGATTGTTCTAAGTGTTTCTTTCACGTAAAAGGTTGAAAATGATATTGTACTACAGTAAATAAAGTAATTAAAATCTGTGGTTTCAACTTTTTTCTATTGCTTTTGAAAAACTACAATAATAGAACCATCTACCAGAAAACTTTAAATGGGTGAAAAACCACATTAAATGGAATCATCTATCAAAAGGCTTTAAATTAGTAAAAAACACATTAAATAGCACCATCTATCAGTAAACTTTAAATTGGGTGAAAAACCACATTAAATGGAACCATCTATCAGAAGACATTAAATTAGAGAAAAACTACATTAAATGGAACCATCTATCAGAAACTTTAAATTGGTGAAAACCACATTAAATGGAAGAATCTATCAGAAGGCTTTAAATTGGTGAAAAACCACATTAAATGGAATCATCTATCAAAAATTTAAATTAGTAAAAATCCACATTAAATGGAACCATCCATCAGAAGACATTAAATTGGTGAAAAACCACATTAAATGGAACCATCTATCACAAGATTTAAGTTAGTAAAAATCCACATTAAATAGAACCATCTATCAGAAGACATTGAATTGGTGAAAAATCACATTAAATGGGACCATCTATCAGAAGACTTTAAATGAGTGAAAAACCACATTAAATGGAACCATCTATCAGAAAACTTTAAATTAGTGAAAATCCACATTAAATGGAACCATCTATCAGAAGACTTTAAATTAGTAAAAATCCGCATTAAATGGAACCATTTATCAGAAGACTTTAAATTAGTAAAAATGCACATTAAATGGAACCATCTATCAGAAAACTTTAAATTAGTGAGAAACCATATTAAATGGAACCATCCTTCAGAAGGCTTTATACTAGTGAAAAACCACATTAAATAGAACCATCTATCAAAAGGCTTTAAATTAGAGAAACACCACATTAAATGGAACCATCTATCAGAAAACTTTAAATTAGTGAGAAACCATATTAAATGGAACCATCCTTCAGAAGGCTTTATACTAGTGAAAAACCACTTTAAATAGAACCATCTATCAGAAAACTTTAAATTGCTGAACAACTACATTAAATGTAACATCATTAAATTAGTGAAAAACCACATTAAAGGGAACCATGTAAAATCGTTAACATGAAATGTCAATATGATTTTTATCATGTAGCATACCATATATTATTTTTCAATTCACTGCTACACACTGTTTTTCTTATTATATCTGTTTATTATTTTAATTTATTTTTTTGTTAAAAGCAACTTTTTATAGCTTGAATGTTCGAATAACAAGAGATAAAAGAGTGAAATAATGGCACGCACAACTTTACGATTGAGTCACAAATTATCTTAGATGATATAAGTAGTTCGCCAGGAAGTAACTACAACATTATTTGTTTTGCACGTTCAGAAACGGCATATTTTTAACTTATCATTTCACAAGATACTAACCACCCTTTTATTCATCAAAAGAATTTTTAACAAATTTTGAAGAATTTAGAAAATAAAAAGTACACTCAAATGCTGAGAAAAAAAAACACATTCCATTTTCATAAATCCTTCTTATAATGCCAGAATTGGGAGCTCGATCTTTATCCCCAACATAGTACAAGTAGCCCATTATGCAGCTTTGCACCGAAACAAACAAGCGTAAATTTAAAAAAATTTCGTTAATTAAAAATGTATTCGTTTTCATTGCCTATTTTTTATTTTCGATATAAGTGTAAAACTTGACTTTTGTTTCATAACTGTAAGAGCTTAATCCTTCTTGAAAACAGTTCCTAGTCATTCAAAGAAAAATAGCTTCTTTATGTGTTTTGTAGCTTAGAAGTTTTTACTTCGTTCTTCAACAAAATGCCACTTTTACTTTTTCTCTACCTCTTTCAAAAGAAAATTCTAACTAAAATGACTGATTCCGTTAATTAAAGAAAATAAACGAAGAGAACAAAATCTGCTCAAGTATAGTCAACTTGCTTTCTTTGTTCAGTTGTAATAAGGTACAACCTCTGCAATAGAGTCCAGACGAAGCTTTCAAACTCCTTATATTCAATCCTGGGAGGTAGTCTATTACTTTTTTCTTAAAACAATAGCCACGATCGACCACGTTGCTTGCACGCAAAACCCTCATTGATTCTGGTTTTCTTGTACTTCCCTGACCTCGAAAATAAGTAAATCTAATAATATCTGACTAACTTTAATTCAAGGCACAGAAATTCGGAGATAAAAAATGAAGAGAACATCGAGTGCAAGACAAGTTCTACATGAATATTAATAGAACTTTTTATGACGTCAAGAAAAACCATCGTGTGAATTTTTGCATGTGATTCTATTGAACTGAGCCAAATCAATCTTGGTCTCTAACAATATACCAAAATGAGTTGCTGTCCATAACTCATCTCCAACGAAATACCACTTTCAGTTGTTGTCTATAACTCATCTCCAATGAAATACCACATTCAGTTGTTGCCTATAACTCATCTCCAACGAAATACCACATTCAGTTGTTGTCCATAATTCATCTCCAACGAAATACCACTTTCAGTTGTTGCCTATAACTCATCTCCAACGAAATACCACATTCAGTTGTTCAACAACTGAAAGTGGTATTTCGTTGGAGATGAGTTATGGACCCTATAACTCAGAAAAAGGATATTCCATTTGATAAAAGGAAAATTTTATGTTTAGCATGTAATGTTTAATCATCTCAAAATTAGGGACCCTTAGCTGAAATGTGAGGAATATGCAAGGTCAGTGTTCATTGTTGCCCCCCTCCCAGACCCTTTGGTAAAATGAATCTCCTGTATATATACATATGCGCGTGTGTATGTGTAAACGGGGGAGGGGGTATTTCTAAAGCAGAGGCCAATCAGGATTGTTGTTTGCTTTCTATAGACAATGTAGATGGTGATAGTACTTTCTTACAACAAGATTTCTTGTTCAACTGTCCTAGTTGTCTAAGTGGATTTTTTATTTATTTCCGGAAACATGCCCTAATTATGGGTCAAGATATCATCGCTTCTTGGGTCAAAGTTTCTCACTTGGTGTCTAAGAAAGTCTCATTAGAGAAAGATAAATTTTTCCCATATTCTCCTCGAAACAGCACATTTCTCGCAGTTACATTTATTTTTTACTTAACTTTTAACTTCCAGTTTGTTTCTTGGTATTTTGTAAATTACAATACAGTTTTTTTTTTGTCAAGAAACTCAAGCCAAGACGTTTGATATGTACTTCAACTTTCGTACACTTTTCGATTGTGTTGATAAACTATTGGCTTTCTTCTAAAACTGGATATCTAAATCTGTCACGCTGTAATAATTCCAACAGTGAGTGAACTTCTTCTCTAGTCATCACAGGGTTTTCTTTAATAAAGGAATGAATAAAGTGAAAATGTGTAACTTCTTTTCTTTTAATTTCGTCGCAGACATGTTTCCAGTAACCAAACGTAAGAAACTAAACATGTTTCCAGTGACCAAACGTAAGAAATTAAACATGTTTCCAGTGATCAAACGTAAGAAATTAAACATGATTCCAGTGACCAAACGTAAGAAATTAAACATGTTTCCAGTGACCAAACGTAAGAAACTAAACATGTTTCCAGTGACCAAACGTAAGAAATTAAACATGTTTCCAGTGACCAAACGTAAGAAATTAAACGTTTCCAGTGGCCAAACGTACGAAACTAAATATGTTCGAAGTTATTCAACGGGACAAAACGTTCTGTTTATCATACAGACAATAATATAAGTGTTAGATTCTGTAAACTATTTTATTTATATAATAACTTCATATTTTACAATGAACTATAAGAACAACAGGGAAGTGAACGTCTTTGTTGTTTTTAGTATTTTGTATAAAAAGCTCTGTAATCTTTATGTAATTTCTAACATATTAGATATGAAATATTGTTACTTTTCAGCTTTTATTTGTTTGTTTGTTGTAAAACATAAAACTACACAATGAGCTATTGTACTCTACTAACCGCGGGTATCAAAATCCGAATTTTAATGTTATAAGTCCGATGAGCCACTGGAGGGAATATTTCAATAATCATGACACAAATATCTGACAAAATGTGTGTATACATATACACACACACTTGACGTGCGAGATGTCGGTATTTATCACGGTACTAGATTAGACAGCAAAATGAAGGTTTCGTAACAAGAAATACTGGACTTCGTACCATTAAAGCTACAGTATCTTGAAGTAAAAGTTAATATATCTTAGTCGTGATGAACAATACATAAAGGAAAGTAAACAACTTAAATACTTCACAAATATATACGAGAAAGTTAAAAAAAGATGGTGGACATATTAGCTAATCCTCTATTTCAGCGTCGTATTTAATCACCGCAGCATTCCCATGGTAAACGTTTTTGTGGCAAGCCTGTAACCGAGGGGAATCGGGGGTGCGAACGAACCCTCCAGTTCCGCCGGAGTTACGCTCCCCCTATTAATTTTTCTTTCCTTTCTTTGATAATGGCCTCTCATTATATAATTGCTTTTGTAACACCGTGCATACATGCGGAAATATAATTTTCATACTTATCAGAAGAAATTTACTAGAAGTGTTTATTTGTAGAGATAATAAAGGAACCTTTTTTTCTTTTTTTTTCGTCCCTGGGCACTAAAATTACAGTGAACGAGTTCCATTTTGGACGGAAAAAAACCCCTCTATCCAGACCTGGCTACGAGCTTGTCTATAGAATTTATGTTTTATAACAGTTTCAGTAAGGAAACGTTTAGAATAATATTAAAATAATATAGAATAACACGAACAGTGCTGTTCTTAATTGACCAGTGGTTAGAATATATCGTGAAAATCATATGAATAATGATCGTAAGGTTATACACAATATTATCAATTCTTTTTCTCCGTTATCTCTAATTTGGTAACCTTAGGAGATCTATATTTAGCCTATATCTATACACTAACCCTAAGTAACGGATAAATAATCAAAGTCTTTATTTATGTTTAGCCTAAATCTCTACACTAGCCCCAAATGACGGATAAGTTATTATGAAATGATTACTGTTTATCAAAGTATTTATTTATGTTAAGCCTAAATCTATACACTAGCCCCAA